TGTGAAGTAGTAGTATTGTCGTAGTAATTTTATTGTATTAGTTAGTTGTTGTGGGTTTGTAATTGGTATGTTAATATTGTGTTGAGTAGAGACCTTCTCACTATCAGGTAAGCGTGGCTTGGTCATAGGGTTTGCTTGTATGATATTGTCAGGAAGTGGATAGCATATTTTGTAATGTTGTAAAACTTCTTTAATAAAGGCTTTTGTGATATCATCCTGTATAACAGAATAAGTATATTGACCATGTGTTTTAATTTGTTCAGGGTTAGTTGAAAGCAATGGTTTAACCACAAAATAGTCACTAGATAGAAGTTGAAATTTGTAGTATTGTCTAAATTGATAGATAACTTCTGATAGAGATACATGTACAAGTGTAGATCATAAAGAAAGTATTTTCTAACACTTGGGTTTAGTTTCTGATATGTTGTGGGTAGTGGTTGCTTAGGAGGAGGTAGTTAAAAATATGATTCTGGGATAGAATTACAGGTATAGTAGTCTGCTAGCTTCTGTTTGTAAAATGACAGGTATTGAAGAGATTGCCGATTTGTTATGAGGAAATATTGTTGTAGTTAAGGTAGTAAATTATTGACATCCTCAGGTAGAGCAGGTAATATTTGAAAATAGATGTCTAGTAATTTGTTAAACTTAAAAAGTTTTCTTAGGCAATTAACAATTGCTGTTGTATGTGATCGTTGTTTAATTAGAAGTGTAAAGAGAAACTCTTTTGTAATATATTCTGGTATAAGATCAGGGCTTGTGGGAAGTGAAAGTAGTTTTTTTTGGAATGCTTTAAGTACAGCATTCTTGATTTCCTTTGAAGTATTCTCATTTTTATTTGAGATCTGAAAGAAATCTCTTGCATAGTAAATTAATTTAAATATAGCAAATTGGCTAATTGTGATAAAGTTTGCATTGGCAAGGTGTTGTACGATAAGTATTCTTTTGAGCATAGTGTGAATAGTTCTATATACCTCCTAATTTATAATCATGAGCTGATTGTTGGCTTTGTAGTTGGCTAATGCCATATTGTATAGGTTTGTGTATTCTTTCTGATGTGCTGGCATAGTTTTGGGGTTTTTAGAAAATGTAGTAAAGAATCTTGTATCTAGATGTTTAAACTTTAAATAAATTGCTGAAGATATTTCAAATTGAGTATGAGTAGAGCCAATTTTATGCTGCACCAATTGGTATATACTATCTGAGGTTTGAAGTAAAGTAGCTATAGCATCATATATCCAGTTATTTAGATCAAATAGTTGTTTTGTACCTTGTACAATTTTGCTTGCAACCTGCTGTACCCATGCAGTACTATCAGATATCTCAAAGGTAGATAGATCAAGATTTTTTCGTATGGCTTAACTATAGGATAGTTTGGTTGTTTCAGTGAAATTCATAGTAGTAGCTGTATATATAGGTGATACAGTTGATGGAGATTCTGGTACCTGCATGTTTGTATTAGTGGTATTGATTAGTGTAAGTTTAGATTGTTTTTTATTACTAGAAATCTTATTGGATTGGGCAGATGCATGAGTATTCTGGTAGGTAGTATTATATCTGAGAATATTGACTTGGGCTGCTAACCGTTTGTTTGTTTT